CCATCCATCCATCCATCCATCTGACAGCAGAGCACAGGTGTTGTCACAAACCTAAAACATTTGGCGACATCTTGTGGAGGTCACCTGGAAGTACTCTCTACACACGGCCCTTCTTTACGTCACACAACGTCACCAGGAAGTCCACTGCAACCAAGGCGACAGCATGGCAGAATACACAGACCCACGTGAGTGTGGTAAATAGCAGATTTAAAAGCCCCAAACAGCAGCTGTTAAACATGCATATATCTATTTTGGCTGGCGTTAACTAATATTGCGCATATAGTTAATGAACGGTGACTTTAGTGGCGTTACACGACGCGTGAGCAGCTTTGCTCGCCTGTAACGCTAAAGCTAATTTATCTTGCATCAACACTAATACCAAAGTAACCGTGTGGCTTTGTTTTTAAACAGACGGTGATGGAAATGCGGACGGGATGCCGGAGCTCTCGGACTGCGAGGATGATGATGACATTGATGATGAAGAGCAGTGGCAGTGGATGGAGGAGGAGGACGGCCAGCAGGTTACTGTCACCTGTCTGTTCTGTGACAGGTGAGAGGAGACTGCAGAGTTTCACCACAGCCAGCATGTTTAGAAATACACTGGACATTTGCATCAAGGCTTTTCCTTTTTAAATCCACTGCAGTGATTTCCTTTCCTTAGCTGATGTTCCCAACCTTCATTCCTATTTTCAGCATCCCCTCTCATTCATTTTCATTAAAAGTGATAAGACTGCATATTAGTTTCAGATATGACATTAAACTTGATGGTAGAGCCAATTATCTTTCTACAGGTGTGTGTTCAGACTGAATATTCACTTTTTATACAACCCTCAACAGAGAAACCAATTACTAATGCTGTTAATAAAGGTATCAGCCCCTGGAGTTTAGAGGATGTCTGCTTATGGTCTAAGTGTGTTTATATTAACTCAAATAATTGTTTTTTGGGCAGAAATATGAGTGTTATCACAATTTAAAAGAACCAAGCCAACAATATGAAATAAAATAAAAAACACATTTAAATGTACTACATGTCCATGCAAAATGTTGTAAGTTAAAAGTGTACCACACAATGTAATGGTCAGAAGTTGTCAGTGTTTCCATAGAAACTTTAACAGACTGATTTCCTAAACTCAGATAAACAAAAATAAAACAGTAGGTTCAAGTTTTAGTTCACCCATGACAAAAAACGGCATTTTTTAGACACACTAGTACTAATATCAGGTCCCATACTGTGCTCATGTACTCGTAAATGTAATAATAAAACTACTCCGATACTGCACCTAATACCTTTTTATGGCAGCGTGACATTATGTAACCTCTCGTAAGTCGAGCAGGTAGGTGGAGGAGAAGCAGTGGCAGCAGTTTAGAGATATCTTAAGCAACTTTTACAACAACATTGGCAGCATCTAATATGTTACAGTCAAAGTGGATAACATCTGATGGAAAATAAAACACGTTTTCGTTGTTAAAACTGTTATGTATGATTAAATACTCATGTCTGTATCAGAAGGTACCCAAATGTAAGTACTTGTATGTGGTCTAAAAAAAGTGGTATTGTACGTCTCTAGTGGAAAAGCTTCATAAACACCTCTTCTTGCCCTTTGTGATGAATGATTTGTTCAGGAGATAGAAGTACGGGTCCCAGCATCCAAAGTTTCACCTAGCGGTCAGTTATCGGACATGAAATCCCAGCTGTCTGTCTTCACCGTCACTAGTTGTTTCTGTTTATAAGCTCAAAATAAGTCTAAGGAAGATTATTTTGTTGTTTCATTTGTTTTTCGTTCAGTCTGCACAGCTGAAACTAAGTCAAACCTCATTACTGTTTTCTCCCTGCTTCAAAACCAGAGGACTGTGACATACAGTAAACGGATATAATAATTGGAAATCCAAACTCGAGAGCCACGACAAGTGTGTTTATAGGAGTATAACTATTCATAAAAATAAAGGTTTAACTTTGCATGTTGCTGCTCTACTGTATGTTTTGATCCAAAACATCCATTTTCATACAATGAACCAATAAATCTGAGTGTCTGTTTTCTATTTTTTTAAAAGATGAATACGAGTGAGTTTGTAATGAAACCGATTGCTTTTCTTACTCATGCACTTTTGTGTTTCAGGTTGCTGAGCTCCGTGCCCGCCACCGTGCAGCACTGCACAGCTGAGCACCAGGTCAATCTTGTAGACGTGATAAGAAAACATAGTAAGTGGACACAGCTCTCTGCGTCACTGAAGAACCGTAGGATTGTTCCGTTTCGTTCAAATGGCCTAACCTTCTTTTCCTCTTTAGATTTAGATGACTATGGTTACATAAAGATGATCAACTTCATACGGTCAACGGTAAGTACTGTCTGTCTTCAGTCTTAAAATGTCATGCTGTAAGTGTTGTTCATACCTTGTGTCCATGGGGCATAGTGAGTGTTAATATTTCATCCAAGAAAACAACAGAAAACATCTGTTGAAACATAGTCAAGTAAAAAAAATGAAATCAAATAACAAATCTGTGGTTATAGAAATGTGATGCATCCTGTCTGACGGGGCTGCCAGATGCTCCCTTACCCTGGGAGAGCGAAGACTTCCTGCGACCGGTCCTACAGGACGACCCCCTGCTGCAGACAGGTACAGCATCTCCTTTAGGTTTTATTACACACGTTAGGTTTTAATTTTCGAGTAACTGGCTGCAGTTGGAGTAAGTATTTAGACGTTTAAAGCAACTCACACACTTAGCAACTCATTTAGCAGGATGGTACTTGTTGGTACTCGTTTGCAGTTTGTCCCGGGTCTCAGCTCTGATCCAGATGAAAGAGGTGTATAAAGGTTCCAGTACGCTTTAAACATATTAGTTTGAACATAGTTTTGTCCAAACAATTTAAAGGCAAAAGTGTTTATATTTATTCTGAATGGTCACATTCTGAAGCGGGAAGAAATGCCTGTTATTATAGAGAGGGGTGAGAGGTGCCAAATTGTAGAAATGGGGATAAGGACATGCACTTTTGGGCCGTCTCTCCTGAAAGGCGTTTATGGTGTTGCCCTCGGTTGTACACACGAAAAGTGCCAGAAGTAGTAGTGTGAAGAATGAACTAAGAGAGCTTGAGAGAGATGTTTAAACCCTTACTTTCTCCTCCTCCGCACTCAGAGCTAAACGCTGTGTAAAGTCGACATGCTTGTCAGAAATCCAACAAGCACTTTGTTCGATGCACGTACAGGTAAATATGCTACTGATGACATTTGTCAGAAGACATCTTTACCTGACTGTACCTACGATAGCCATAGCAAAGAATCTGTGACTGCTCACACTACAAGACCACCGACAAAAATACGAACACAGTCTGGACTCTATGATCGTGCAGTCTCGCAATGGGCAACGAAGCTACTGAAAACTGGGTTGGGACGGCTCGTTCTCCCATTCTGTTACTGTTGCTGTACTTTTTCACAACATGAACAAATTCTTTTTCTACTTCTGGATGTTGCTTTAACAAGGCTGTTGAACAAGTGTCTCAGATCACTGTCCTCTATCTGTGGGTGATATCACACCTGTAGTTTGGCTCATTTGTTCCAGACCAAGGGAAAAAATGCTAAATACATTGTTGGATTTTAGTTCTGGTTGGGTTCATGTTCCCACTAGCTTTTTACAAACGAACCAAAAGGAGGAAACACAAAGTCATAAAGAGAAGTCATTAATTGGACTGATTTGGCGACTGTCATCCTGCATCATCAGCGCATAATCAGGACCTACGTGCGAAAAATAAAATTCCGCTGACCGACAGCCGGTCACGCAGCACTAAATCGCCTCTAATATGTGTATTTATGTTCTCATAAAGGGACCACAGATTGGCCGCATGTTATGAATAATGACAGAGGTAGGAGCAGGATGAAAAAGAAGCGCCGCCGTGTTCAGCAATATTCCAACTGGAATTTTTTCCCTTTGTAAAGCCCTCGGAGAAAGAGCAGGATTCAGTTTTGTAGGTGAAGAGCGCATTAGTGCAGTGGACTGACAGATTTGCTGTTTGAGGAAAAGCATGAGTGACGTACCTTATTCAGCTCCCAGCTTGTCTTTTGGCTGCATTGCCCTGGCAGGAGAAACTGGTCTCTGTGCCTCCTCTCTGATGGTGTTTATAATTGATATTTGAGCTTGTGCTCCACGTGTAGCTGCTGAAAATGTGTGGGTGTGACCTCATTTCATGTTTTGCCAAATGTTGGCAGGAATAAAACAGACCAAACAAAAGCAACAACCATTTATTTTATGGAGTTATTGGGTGGATTGTTGTTATTTTTAACATTTTGTTGAACCCCTCTAGAGACAGCCAGACAAAACATGCAGTGTATAAATACAAATAACAGCATACATTAAATAATGTAATTGGAAGATCAGAGGCTGGAGTTAGTCACTGTGTTCAGCCTACATGTTTTACTTCCATTTGTCTCTCCCTCTTTGTGTTTCTGGCAGACCCTGAGGAGCTCTGTGGCAGTGAAGGGTCGAGCCTGTTGACAAGCCAGTCGTCTGGGGCCCAGTCCCATGATGCACTGCTGCAGAGGGCACAAACCGCTGAGGAGAGAGCCCGTTCCTCAGAGGAGGCGCTGGCCAGAGCCATGGATGACCTGCACAAACTTAAGTAAGCAATGTTTCTGTCTCATGATTAATTAGGTTATTCCTATTAGTTTATTTCTTATGAATATCGGGTTGATTCTTTTCTTTTTATGTTCTTGAGAGCTTGCAATGTACTCCGTGTTGCTTTACTTCTGCACTACCCTCCTGGGGCCAGCAGGGGGACACAGTGAACCCAGTATTGCAGAAACACCATCTAGAGTACCTTGTGGGAGAAGTTTGGAGGAAGGGGAAAGATAAAAAAAGGGAAGGGAAAATTCCACTGCAGCATGGAGGTTAAAGTGAGGAGGGGAGGCAGGAAGGGGGGGCAATAAGGGAAAATTACAGAAAGAGTGAGGTTGGGGGG